CTGTGGTTCCTCCATGCTTGCCTCCTCACATACAATACAATACTAATAGTCCTGCATTGTATGTGATGGTGCCTAGGGCCTTCCCACAGTCCAGAGCACCAAGAAGAAGAAGAGCACATCTGAGCCTTATGGAAGGAATAATACAATATAATACAAGGCTTTATGGAGGGAGGAATATGAGATAGGTAATACAGTCTTTCTTCCACCCTCTAGAATTAACAAGCATTTAACAGTTGTAATGCTTGGGGGAGCAGCTCCGGGGGTTTTTTCCATCCTGAATTAGACTTTAACTGCAACTTTAGTGTATCAGCCTAACTATGCTATGCAAGGGGGCTGTGTAAATCTCAGGAGTGAATTATTATTATTATTATTATACAGTATTATATAGCGCTAAAAGGTTTGCTCAGCGCTGTACACTATAGTGGGGGACAGAACATGAGACAATACAGTAACAAAACAAAACAAAACACAAGGGATTCAAGGGCCCTGCTCTTTCGAGCTTACAATCTAAGAGGGAGGGGATAGTGGTACAAGAGGAAGTGGCTGTGGGGGATGGAGTGGTAGGAGGAGTGGAGGAGATCAGCTGTTAGGTGAGGGCGGGGTAGGCTTCCCTGAAGAGATGGGTTTTCAGGGTGCGCCTAAAGGTGAGGAGGGTAGGTGACAGTCTGATGGATTGGGGTAGTGAGTTCCAGATGATGGGGAAAGTCCTGGAGAAGTCCTGCAGTCGGGCGTGGGAGGTGGAGACCAGGGAGCTAGAAAGTAGGAGGTCTTGTGAGGAGCGAAGAGTACGGGTTGGGTGGTATTTGGGTATCAGGCCGGTGAGGTAGTTTGGGGTAGCGTTATGAATGGCTTTGTATGTCAATGTTAGTAGTTTGAATTTAATGCGTTGGGCAATCGGGAGCCAGTGGAGGGAATGACAGAGGGGGGTGGCAGAAGCGGAGCGGTTGGTAAGGTGGATGAGTCTGGCCGTTGAGTTCAGGATAGACTGAAGCGGGGATAGTCTGTGATGAGGTAGGCCGGTGAGAAGGGAATTGCAGTAGTCCAGACGTGAGATAATAAGGGAGTGAACGAGTTGTTTAGTAGTGTCTGGGGTTAGGAACGGATGTATTTTGGAGATGTTGCAGGGATAGAGCCTGCATGAGTTTGCCAATGATTGGACATGGGGTTGGAAGGACAGGTTTGAGTCTAGAGTGACACCTAGGACTTTGGCTTGTGGGGTGGGACTGATGGTGGCGTTGTTGGTCATGATGGAGAGGGTGGAGGGGGGGCACGGGCTGGGGGGAAAATCAGGAGTTCGGTTTTGGAAAGGTTCAATTTGAGGAAATGGAGCGACATCCAGTCTGATATGTCGTTCAGTAGGTGGGTGATACAGGTGGAGACTGAAGGGGTGAGGCGAGGGGTGGAGAGGTAAATGTGCATGTCATCGGCGTAGAGGTGATAATTGAAGCCCTGGGAGAAGAGGACAGAGCCTTGGGGGACTCCAACAGAGAGGGGGAGAGAGTGGGAGGTGGTAGCGTTATAGGTAACACTGAAGGAGCGTTGGAATAGATAGGAGGAGAGCCAGGAGAGAGCGAAATCTCTGATGCCGAGGGAGTGTAGTTTGTTAAGGAGGAGGGGGTGGTCGACTGTGTCGAAGGCCACGGAAAGGTCGAGGAGTAAGAGGACTGAGTAGTGGCCATTAGCTTTGGGCGGTTAGCAGGTCATTAGTGATTTTGAGTAGGGCGGTTTCGGTGGAGTGTAGGGGACAGAAGCCAGACTGTAGTGGATCGAGGAGGTTGTTGTCAGTGAATGGACAGAAATACAAATTAGCTGTTCAGCTTCTAAGCTATGAGTGGGGTAATGCCATAGCACACTTTCCTTACAAACCAGGAATGCCAAGAGTGTGCACCACATGATTTATGCAAAATAGGGTACCCAGACAATTTTTTAAAATGCTAGGGGAAAGACATTTTTCAGCAGAAGAGACTTTCCATCTCCCATCTGATGAACATCTCTACCTCTTAAAATTTCTTATTTTCAGGATTTAGTTCTGCTTTAAGGCCAAATATATTCAGGAAAGAGTAAAAAAGAAAAACAAATCATAATCATAATCTGACAATATGCTAAAATGTCCTTGGAGAGCCCATCAGTAGAGATGTCTATAAATTTTTCCAGGCATTTCTAGTTCTCATAATCCTGAGATTATGATTTCCACTTGGATTTTACCTTTAAACACTAATTTCCCCTGATTAATTAGCAACACATAAATCTGCAGCAGTTGAACACAAAATCTAAATTACATTTCAGGTTATTTGTGATCATTTAGATGTTAATACAATATCAAAACATAACACAGATATTTCAGGAGTTTATTAGAATTTACAAAAGCTGGATCATTATAGCTCTAAGTGTCCGGCACATGTGCAACTCACCTCACCGAAGTCATGGTAATGATTATCAACCATCTAATGGTTACAGCTGATCATACATTATACAATCTTGGATCCCCTGCCGGTACTCCTGGCTCCTTTTCTTTGTCCAGTGCCCCCATGGGAAGCCACTTCTAATGGGGGCACTTGTGCGTGCTCACTCCGGAGCCCAGCAGCTGCGTTCATTGACACAGACAGTGCCTCAGATGGGCACAGTGCTGGATTGAATGAGGGCTCAGGTAAATAAAAGGGGGGAGGAGCCAAAATGAATGCCTAAACCTTTTTTAACTTAATGCAAGGAATACATTAAGGTAAAAAATATTTCGTCTTTAGAACCACTTTAACACAGTATTCATGTACTTATGATATCATTTTGCAAAGTATTGCATTAGGATTATATACAGTACACAGATTGTAATAATATTGATGATTATAATAATAATAATAGTCATAACAACCAATATAACCCCTGGTTCACATCGGTGCGATCGTGCAGGCCGTGATTTGCACAGGTACAAGAGCCGATTTATTTGAATGGACTCCTATGCCCCAGAACACACAGGGAAGAAGTCCCTGCACTTGGGAAATTGCAGCCCACACGGGAACTGGGGTTCCCAGTACAGTTGCGATTCTCAGTGCGAGCAGCGTGCCATTAGAATTAATGGCACCCGCCTGTGGGTCCCACATTCCTCTGTGTGGGTGGTGCGGCTGCAGGCATTTGTGTGGGTCCCGCAGTGGCACCACCTGCACAGATGTGAACCAGGGGTAAAGGATGCAGCTTTTGTATTGTTTGTAATGTTTGTAATTTTTTTACAAACATCACACAATTTGACAATTTCTTTGCAACATATATCTGTATACCATATATCTGAGTTTTGTAAATCCACTGCACTCTAATAGGTTTCTTGTTTGGATTGGGTATATATATATATATATATTTTTTTTTAAACCAATACATAAGTGGATTAAGGGGTGATCTTTATTACTGCCCAGTGTTTAGCTCAATTGTACCATCTAGGTTTCACAACCCCCATTTACAGCTAATACATTACAGGCGGAAAAGATCACTTTAGAGGGGAAAAAAATGTGGCATATTCTTTTGGACTAGACAGTCTATCCCATGTATGTTTGTATGTTTGAATTGGGCAACAAAAACATTTAATTTAGAAAAAGGGTTCAGGGTTCTTTGTTAAATTGAAAAAAGAACATGATTTTCATTAGATATAATAAAAAGAAAACATTTCTAGGGGTTGATTTACTAAAGGTAAATAGACTATGTACTTTGCAAAGTGCAGTTGCACTCTGCAAGAGCAGTTGCTCCAAAGCTTAGTAAATGCTGACCTCCATCATCCAATCACGTGCAAGCAAAAATGCATTGTTTTTTTTTATTTTCCTTGCACGTGATTGGGTATTCTTTGTAAAGTGAAGCTTTACCTCATTTACTATGTTCCCGGGCAACTGCTCTTGCAGAGTGCAACTGCACTTTGAAAAGTGCACAGTCTATTTGCCTTTAGTAAATCAACCCCTTAATGTTCATATGATAAGACTGACACATTCCAAGGAAATCCCATCTACTTCCTCAGGGGTAAGGAACCACCAGATAACTTTTTATAGGCAAAAGCTCACTTTTCCTGCCCCTTCAATATTTATTTTTTTTTTTCAGATTTGTGGTCCAAATAATACACAGGACAACAGCTTAAAGAAAAATATTACAAGTTCTAATGAATATGTGTAGATCAGATAACTGCACACATATCCAACTTTGTTCTCCATTGACACACCTATAGAAGTTTCCAAATTGCTTCTACAAAAAGAAAATGTTTTCACTGCACTCATTGTTTTAAATTTTTATATCATTTTCATACTTCTATATACTTGCACTTTCAAATGATTGTATTAAAAGCAATCTATGGTCACAGCATACACTTTCATTTTTTAACATCAACATTGTAATAACAATAGTTATATTTGTCAATCCAATATGAGCTTACATGTAACATCTCCTTTTAATGTTCTGAATGCTGTCTGTCTGCTGGCCATCTCTTTCCACACCTTCCTGGATTTCCTGCATGCTTTGCAGCTTCTCTGCTGTTTACTTTCAATGTGTAGGACTACATATCCCATGGTGTCTTGCTGCCTGCAATCAGTGAGTCCTGTACTGACTTCTCCTCCTGAGAATCCTCCTCTCAGCACCTCTGTAGTTCAGAAGGCAGGTTCTTTGAAATGCTTGACACAGCAGTGCCTACTCACAGGGTATAGTGACTACATATCATAAAATTCAAGGAAGGAAATGTGTGGGGATCTTCACAAAGTAAGTTTGCAAAGTTGAAGATTGTTCAAATAAATAGGAGTAGGCTAGAAATAAATGAAATACAATGTGGAAATTAATATAATGATTTTAAATTTTGACCATGGATATACGTTAAGTTTAAAGATATGTAGATTCACCATTAGAGGGGGTATTTGCAACCGCTCTGCATCGCTTCTTAACCACTTCCCGTCTGGCCCATGTACATAAACGGCCAGACGGGAGCAGTGCTGGAGAGGGTTGCTGTTTATAAACGGCCTCCGCATTCCCTGCCTGTGCAGGCTCCCTGGTCATCCCCTGTACTATGTCCGCAGTCTCTGGTCATCCCCTGTACTATGTCCGCAGTCTCTGGTCATCCCCTGTACTACGTCTGCAGTTTCTGGTCATCCCTTGTACTGTGTCTGCAGTCTTTGGTCATCCCCTGTGCTACGTCCGCAGTCTCTGGTTATCTCCTGTACTATGTCCGCAGTCTCTGGTCATCTCCTGTACCGTGTCCGCAGTCTCTGGTCATCTCCTGTACTATGTCTGCAGTCTCTGGTCATCTCCTGTACTGTGTCCGCAGTCTCTGGTCATCTCCTATACTATGTCCGCAGTCTCTGGTCATCTCCTGTAGTATGTCTGCAGTCTCTGGTCATCTCCTGTACTGTGTGTCCGCAGTCTCTGGTCATCCCTGTACTGTGTCCGCAGTCTCTGGTCATCCCTGTACTGTGTCCGCAGTCTCTGGTCATCCCTGTACTGTGTCCGCAGTCTCTGGTCATCTCCTGTACTGTGTCCGCAGTCTCTGGTCATTTCCTGTACTATGTCTGCAGTCTCTGGTCATCTCCTGTACTATGTCCGCAGTCTCTGGTCATCTCCTGTACTGTGTCCGCAGTCTCTGGTCATCTCCTTACTGTGTCCGCAGTCTCTGGTCATCTCCTGTACTATGTCCGCAGTCTCTGGTCATCTCCTGTACTATGTCTGCAGTCTCTGATCATCCCCTGTATTGTGTCCGCAGTCTCTGGTCATCTCCTGTACTATGTCTGCAGTCTCTGGTCATCTCCTGTACTGTGTCCGCAGTCTCTGGTCATCTCCTGTACTGTGTCCGCAGTCTCTGGTCATCTCCTGTACTGTGTCCGCAGTCTCTGGTCATCTCCTGTACTATGTTCGCAGTCTCTGGTCATCTCCTGTACTGTGTCCGCAGTCTCTGATCATCCCCTGTACTATCCACAGTCTCTGGTCATCTCCTGTACTGTGTCCGCAGTCTCTGGTCATCTCCTGTACTGTGTCCATAGTCTCTGGTCATCTCCTGTACTGTGTCTGCAGTCTCTGGTCATCTCCTGTACTGTGTCCGCAGTCTCTGGTCATCTCCTGTACTGTGTCTGCAGTCTCTGGTCATCTCCTGTACTGTGTCCGCAGTCTCTGGTCATCTCCTGTACTATGTCCGCAGTCTCTGGTCATCTCATGTACTATGTTCGCAGTCTCTGGTCATCTCCTGTACTATGTTCGCAGTCTCTCGTTATCTCATGTACTACGTCCGCAGTCTCTGGTCATCTCATGTGCTGTGTCTGCAGTCTGCTTCAGCTACATACAGTGTACCGTGCTGAGCCAATCACGGCGAGCGATGTATTCTATTAATGAATACAAAGCCTGCTCGGATTGGCTGAAGTTGTGACATCATCAGCCTGCCTCTCTGACGCAGCCAATCCGACCAGGCTCTGTATTCATTAATACAATACATCACTTGCCGTGATTGGCCCATATGACGTCCTCCCATCCCTCGGACACAGCGGATCACCGATCACGGAAAGAGCCAAAGATGTCGGCTCGGTCATGTGATCAGCTGTGTCCAATCACATCTGATCACATGTAAACAGGGAAATGCCGGTAATCGGGATCTCTCTCCTCTCGAGCTGTCACGCTGACAGAGGAGAGGAGAACTGGTAATCGGCTTTCCGTGGAGGGGACATGTACACTGATCATCAGGGCACTGATGATCAGTGTGCCCTGATGATCAGTGTAGCGCCAGCAGTGCCAGCTGTCAGTGTCCATCAGTGCCACATCAATGCCACATATCAGTGCCTACCAGTGCACATCAATGCCACATATCAGTGCCCATCTGAGCTGCCTTTCAGTGTCACCCATCAGTGCCAGTCAGTGCCACCTATCAATGCCGATCAGTGCCACCTATCAGTGCTGCCAATCAGTGCCACTTATTAGTGCCAGTCAGTGCCGCCTATCAGTGCCATGTATCAGTGCTGCCTTTCAGTGCCCATCAGTGATGCCTGTCAATGCCCATCAGTGCCACCTATCAGTGCTGCCAATCAGTGCCACCTATCAGTGCCAGTCAGTGCCACCTATCAGTGCGCATCAGTGCCGCCTATCAGTGCCAGTCAGTGCCACCTATCAGTGCGCATTAGTGCTGCCTATCAGTGCCAACTATCAGTGCCAGTCAGTGCCACCTAACAGTGCCAGTTAGTGCCACCTATCAGTGCCATGTATCAGTGCTGCCTTTCAGTGCCCATCAGTGATGCCTGTCAATGCCCATCAGTGCCACCTACCAGTGCCTCCTCATCAGTGCCCATCAGTGCCACCTATTTCATATGGGTACAGTGTTGCATGACCGCGCAATTGTCATTCAAAGTGTGACAGCGCTGAAAGCTGAAAATTAGCCTGGGCAGGAAGGGGGTATAAGTGCCCTGTAGGCAAGTGGTTAAATGGTGTTGCCTTGGAAGGGGGGTAGTCTTATACGGTGAGTATAGCCCAAAACCTATGTTTTAACTGGAAAATTAGGGGGTCGTCTTATACACCCAGTCGCCTTATACACCGGAAAATACGGTACTAAAAATATTTAAAGAAGATAACACATTCCCTTTAAAATGCACTTACTAATGAGCTAATCGAAAATAATTTAGTCAAGCCAGTTAGCAATGTTGGTGAATTAAAAATGTTTATATAGACAAAAATATAATAATGTCAGTAAAATTGTACAACCAACTTTTGTGTAATGAAGAGCTCAGACTAATACTAGCACACTAAATATTTTGACAACGGTCATTAGAACATGCAGGGGACAGCATCCAGAGATGACCTCTATGTCACATGATCATCCTGCAGACGAAAATGAAGACCCTTGAAAAGGAAATTAGAAGGCACTACCTTCCTTCCTCTAGTCTGAAAATGAATGCCAGCATCCTACTAATGTATCCAAATCACAAAAGGTTTCGTAGATCATCTGCTGATGTCGGCATTTCATTTTGCAGACTAACATACAGTTATACCTTCACAATGACTGATATAAAAACAGAACACTGAAAAAAAGTTTAAATTAGCCCGAATTCTAGCTGTCATTTCTCAAGAGCAGGTCAGCAAATAAACACTTGCAGATAAAAATTATTTTCCAAGGAGAGAGGCTTAGGGTAGCATGATTTTGACACATTTTGACATTTTCAACCAACCCTGTTTACGCCATTTTTTTCCACTCAACTAAATTGGTGTAACAACTTCTCATGTCAAACTTTGATCAAGAAAGATTTTACAGCAGAATTGGGTAAAGTGCTGCAAATCAAAAAATGATTATCTTGCCAGGCTTTATAGAAAGGCCCTTTTATCTCTATCCATGTGTGTAGTAGAAGAACAAAGGTATATAATCACAAGTCTGCCATACAAAGAAATCAGCAAGGGCTCTGCAGGGGCATGTGTGTGTATCGGTAAAATGGCGACAAACTTCAGTAGTATTATTATTATTTCAGGTACTTATATAGTGCTGTCAATTTATGCAGCACTTCACATATATATTGTACATTCACATCAGTCCCTAACCCTCAAGGGGTGTACAATCTAAGGTCCCTCAATTACATTCTTACATACACATACTAGGGCCAATTTAGACAGGAGCCAATTAACCTACCACTTTACAATGTGGGAGGAAACCGGAGTACCTGGATGAAACTCACGCAGGCACAGGGAGAACATGCAAACTCCAGGCAGGTGGTGCCGTGGTTGGGATTCAAACCATCAACCTTAGTACTGCCAGGCAGAAGTGCTAACGATTTAGCCACTGTGCCCTATATTTTCCATATGCAATGCTTTAAATGCCCCCTACAGGTCCTCAATTTGGTGTTATGGAGGTGGCCTGGTGCTAGAAATATTGCACGCAAAGATATGTAGCATGCATATTGCAATCAACATACGTATTTTCATACGTAGGCGCGCCTACGTATGTGCTTGCTATTACATTCGTAAGTGCGGATATGTGGGACTGGGGGCCTCAAAAATTTTTGAGAGGAGATTTTATGGGCTTGAATATAACTTTAATTTTTTTAAATGTAAAAAGATTTTAATGTAATTTTTTTTCATCACATAGGGGACAAAAAGTATAACTTTTTAAAAATTGGGTGAAACTCTGCTTTAATATGATAGCAAACATTCAAAATGGAATCACTTTTTTGGTGAAGTTGGCTTATTTCCAGCATAATACAGAAAAAATCATGACAGATGTTCAGAAGAATGTTGAGAATATTATTTTATTTTTATAATAGGGAGCTAGCTGTATAGTAGTTTATCATTTCAGGGTCTTTTTGCTTAGAAATCTCCCCACAATACAAATAGGGCTAATCATAAGTGTTTTTTACCTAGCCACTAATTCTATATATAATGACCTTGTTGTGTTGTAAGCAGTTCCCATAGCTGCTAATTAAGCTGTCATTCACTCTTATGACTCTTTCCACTCAACCTGTACTTGAGTTACATATTACAACGCAAGTTTTCTTTCTTTTTTGTTTTCATTTAAAAAGGAAAAGAACATTTTTGAAAATAAATTCTTGTTTAACCACTTGAGCTCCAGAGGATTTACCCCCCTTAATGACCAGGCCTCTTTTTGCTACTCGGCGCTGCACTAATTCAACTGATAATTGTGCGGTCATGCAATGCTGCACCCAAACGAAATTTACGTCCTTTTTTTCACACAAATAGAGCTTTCTTTCGGTGTAATTTGATCACCTGTGTGCTTTTTATTTTTCACGCTATAAACAAAAAAAGGCCAAAATTTTGAAGAAAAACAATATTTTTTACTTTCAGCTATAAAAAATATATAGTAAACTCAAAGTTGGTTATAAATTTAGGCCAAAATGTATTCTGCTCCATGTTTTTGGTAAAACAAATCCCAATAAGTGTATATTGATTGCTTTGTGTGGAAGTTATAGCGTCTACAAACTATGGTATAAATACTGCAATTTACGCCATTTTTCTGCTATACAGAGCTGCACTAGTTTAACGGACAATTGCACAGTCATGCAATATGGTACATAAATGAAATTTACATCCTTTTTTCCCCCACAAATTGAGCTTTCTTTCGGTGGTATTTGATCGCCTGTGAGGTTTTTATTTTTTGCGCTATAAAAAAAAAGGCTGACAATTTTGAGGAAAAAAAAAACAATATTTTGGACTTTTTGTATAAAACATGTCCAGTAAAAAAAAAATGCAAAAATCAAATTTAGTCATAAATTTCTGCCAAAATTTATTCTGCGACATGTCTTTGCTAAAAAAAAAACCCAATACGTGTAAATTAATTGGTTTACGTGAAAGTTATAGCGTTTACAAATGGCGGGAAAGATACTGGGATTTTTAGGGTTTTTTTTATACTAATAATGGCGGCGATCAGCAAATTATGGCGGCGATCAGGGACTTATGGCAGCGACCAGCGACTTATGGCGGGACTGCGGGGGACATTCTGACATTGGGGGGTACTGACTTGGGGTCACTGACATCCCCAAAAACACTAATACAGTG